GGGGGGGGGGGCGGGGGGGGGCCCTCCCCCCCACCCCCCCCCCCAAAGATAGAGCTGAAAGAAACCCTGCAGGTGAGTATCAAGAGCTTTGTGCCCAACTGACCGAATTCGTGGCTCAAACTTCCAAATGAAAATATTACCCCCATGTTTGCATGTAGCCCCCCCCCCAACCTCTCTCCCACCCCGGCCAATCCTCGCTCCCTGACCCTGCTCGTTTGAAAGCTGTGGGGGTGTGTTTGAATCAAAACGGGCCGCCTGCTTCAATTAGATGTAAATTTACAAGGCAGCCTGCCCCAATAACTCGCGGCAATAACACGTGCTTATCTCGACCGGTTCTTTAGATTAATGGACTTCTTAGCAACAGCAGTCCGTTTATTTACATCTCTCCGCGGTAAGCAAATAGGCCTGCGTTTGTTCAGAGGCGGAAACCGGGTGGGGAGGGGGGGGGTTTGAGGGTGTGCGTTTGAAGCAAGAGTAATTTTGTTGTCAAACCACCAATCGGAGGCAGTACATATCATCATCGTCATCAGAGTACCTACAGCCAAAATGAACACGTTTAACGGTGTTGTCACAATTATAGCGAAAGTACAGGTTGACAAGATAGCAAGGAAATATAATTTCAAAATTAAAGTTCTCAAAAAAAAAGGAAATTTGTCTTTGAGGCTCCGTAGGGTTTATCCCAGGGACGTCCTTTGGGTAAAGCAAAGGGGGGGGGGTATTTGGGGCATTTGCCCACCACCACCACCCCTCGAATTTGCAGGTTTTATTTAAATTGCTATATACTGTGGCAACTCCCGTAATAAACAACTCAACAATCCGGTCAAGTTTTTGGTTTTGCACCCTCCCCCCCCCCAACCCCTTATGAAAAAAAACCTGAAATGACGGCCCTGGTTTATCCTCACAATCATTTTTTTAAAAAAATACTTAGTATTATACAGAGGGCATAAAAGTCCATTTCTGAGTTTTAATTTTGTAGTGTTGACCTCTCTGTCATTTTATTGTTCGCGGCCCCAACCCCCCAAATCAAACTCCCAGTTGTCCTGCCACTGGCCAAAAAGGTTATCTTCAAAGACCTTGAATAATATTACAGAAATTCAGCGGTTATCCAGCAGGTGAAACTTTTAAACAAGGCCTAGAAAACTTGTTCACCACGTACAATGAATTATACAGGTCAACTGAAAGTTGCAGTGACATGAAGAACAGCAGTTAAGCCAGGATTACATGCAAGATGGTGGAGATGCTCAATGGATGCGTTTGTATGTGTGTGTGTATGTGTGTGTGTGTGCGTGCGTGCCTGTGTGTGTGTTCGAATAAATCAACATTAAGCAACAGGGCATCTGGAGTGGGATTTCATCATCTTAAAATTCAGTCATTCTAGAAATTAGTGCCCATTCTCCGTTGTACAAAACCAAGATTTTCCTCACTGTTCGTTTTTTTTTGTGTTGTTTTGTTTTTTTTTAAATATAGTTTTGAGGATATGGTCTCATTAGTAAGAGTTGAATTAATCAAAGTCTTGAGTTGGTGAACTTAATTTTTATATACATTTAAATTTTAAGTACATAAAATAGTAATTTTTGTTTACATATGAATCAAAGAATTATTACTGGTGAGACAGTTTGATGTTAGTCTCACTTGACTTGAAAAATATCGGCTAGGAGTGTTTCTGTGATGGTGTGGATTGGATGAAGTGCAACGTCTTCTTGTGTTGGATTAACATGGGTACCATCTCTTCCAAGTCTGGCTGGATTTAATTTTAAATATTTTCAAGGAGATGTTAACAAAGTGGTAAAATAAATTTAAAAATTGGAAAATGTGGGGAGGAGAGAGAGAGAGAAATTTTGTAAGATCTCTACAAATGCAATCTTAGAATGTGTTTACGGAAGTTTTCAAAGTTGCTTAAAATTTAAGAAATGGAAGACTACTCTTTTATGCCTGCATAACAATACTACAAGAGTTAATGGACTTGGCTTCTTTTCCGAGAACCTGATGGCTCTCATTTACAAGGATTAACAATTAACTTAGATAGTCTCTGTTAATGAATGTTTGTTTTTGCACAATTTGACAAACCTCCAGGATATATATTCAATAAAAGACTGCGTTCTTTAAACTATACAAACTCGGAATTAGACATGGCAAACTAATGGTATTAAAACAACTCCCAATGAAACAACTTCGATTTATCCAAAGGTAATCTGCTTTCATCGACTGGAAAACATTTCCAGCAAAGCAACTGATGAAAATATTACAAAATAACTTACCGCAATGCCGACTTCTCTGGAGTTGAAGTTTGCATGCGTCCAAGGATCACAGTAATATTTCCTTGAGAACTTGGTCAACGGTCCGGCTCCCCTGATGGAGACATCGTTGGTGTGGAATGTTGAGTTGATCACCAACTTCCCATCAAACACCAGACAGGCACAGTTCATTGCTGTGGTTGTAAGAGAATTAAAAGTTGATTTGAACAATAGCTGTAGTAGGCTGAGAAAAATTAATTGTAGGCATTTTATTTCTGTTACGAAGTTATCATTTCAATATAATAAAATCGTTTCGTGCAGAGATATCAAGTACACTGCCTTGATTTCAACACAAAACTTAATTGAACTTAATTGGACCCAACTATCAAGAGATTGATAATGAGACTAATTTTGTCAGCTGTGGTGGTATGATGTGATCTAGATTTAAACATTTTTAAAAAAATTCAAAGCTGATACTGCCACACGAAAAAAGAGACAAATTAAGGCATATTTATTAGTTTTTCATTGCGTATCTCCTAAAATAAAACTTAAGTTTTAAAATTTCCATTTGTCAAAGACAAGATCATCTTTCATCCACTTACAATCAACAGATAACTAAAATAAATTAGTGCCGTTTTAAGCTACTTCTTCAACATCTTGAAAACTTTTATATAAAATGCAATTGACTATTAGTCAGTCTAAAATTACTAATGAAAATATCTAATAGAAGAACACACAATTTTATTGTAAATCAATAACTTTTAAAATCTTTTCTGAACTTGCAGCTTAACTCATGTTTTTAAAACATTGAAATAGTCACCTATGAAGGCTGCTTTGTCCACATCCTTCTTAAAGTAACAAATGAAGATCTGAAAAATTGACATTGAAAAGAACATTATATAACACTTACCCATTTGCACTTTAAAAAATTTAAATTAGTGATTCTCATTTCTTTAAAGTAACAGTACCACCAAAAAAAAAAAAAAGAGATGTCTTAATGATTCCCCCCCCCAACCCACCTTTTCTTTTCCCCACATTACTACTCATCATAACAACAATTGACAAGCATTACAAAAGTGGATCACCCATTAATGTTATGTTAGTGTGAGGTTCCTTTAATCATTATTGATGTCAAAAGAATGCAACAAAAGGCAGTCACAATAAATTAAATAAACTCTTATTGGACAGTTCGTTAAAAACTGACATTTTACTTTTGGAAGAGCATGATTTTCTGGTTTTCATATTGCTACAATTACATAATATATTGTATTATACATTTTTATATATGGACCAACAAAGGATGAATATGGATGGAGAATACGAACCAACCATGAAATGTACAGTCTATATCAGGATCCCACACCAGCAGCAGAGATAAAAAAGGGTAGCCTGTGCTGGGTAGGACATTTAGAAAGAATGCCAAATGACAGAGGAGTGAAGAGGGTACAACATCAAAACCCCAGAGGAAAATGCTCAAAGGCAGACCTAGGCTTAGATACTTTGATCGTTGGATAATGTGGACCAAAGCCCTACATGGGATGGATGGATGATCCATTACATAGGATGAATATTCCACCTGATAGTGGCGTGCCATATCTGTGTCTCTTAATCCACACCCACAGCTCTTGGCGCCAAGAAATGTTATTTGTGGATAAAAGTTTAAGACAGTACCAGAGCATAGGTTCAGTGGCATGGCTAGTGTTAGGGGCCACTTTTGGCGGGTCAAGATTGTTTGCCTCCCCACACCACAAAAAAAATCTGCAATTGACAAAAACTGTGGCCCCCTCCATATTAAGAAAAAAATGGGCTGCCAGTGGCGCACCACACCCCACCCCCCTCCTTCACCACTGCATAAGTTGGAACTCAAATATTGCTACAGAAACGTAGCTGAGTATGCCCATTTTTTTAAAAGCTGTAAGAGTTGTCAACGCTGTTTGAAACGTCACACTGCAGTTACTTGGAAGGAATAGAACTGTTCAACTTACATCACAATCCATTTTCACGTAGCTGGTTGGGGTTGTGAAGGTCAAGTTTTTAATATCTTGTCCCTTCTCGTAGAGGCCATCGTTCCAGTTGGCCAGGTAACAGTTGCCATGCATGGTCACGTCTGCTTTGTTCAGGCATTTCTTCATTTCTTGCTCCACATCTGGATTGTTAAAGCAAGTCACTCCCTAAGCATGACAAAAAACATGAGTAAATACCAAAAGTTATAACCCATTTTGAAAGGTCACAGAGGGTATATGTCTTTTATATTCACCATTAAAATGCTTACACTGTTTACTGACTGCACAAATGCATAAGTTTGGGACCAGTTATAAATGAATCCACCGGTAATAGACTTAAAAATAGACTTGAAAATTTTTTTTTTAAAAATTCAGTTGACAGACTAAAGTTGCGCTACACTTCAAAAAAAAAAAAAAATGTAAGGAATGGATAGAAATAATATAAAGAAGTAGCTCACCAAATATATTTTAACATATTTATAAAGAAGTTATAAATGAATCCACCGGTAATAGACTTAAAAATAGACTTGAAAATTTTTTTTTTAAAAATTCAGTTAAAAGACTAAAGTTGCGCTACACTTCAAAAAAAAAAAAAAATGTAAGGAATGGATAGAAATAATATAAAGAAGTAGCTCACCAAATATATTTTAACATATTTATAAAGTTCATTCTTATCTATTAATAATGCATGGCCAAAAAAACCCATAAACTAACATTTGAAATCATGAGCTAAGTTGAGGCAAAAGATATCATTAGGAAGATCCAAGAAAAATGTTTTGGTCTACACCGTACATTATGTTATGACTCAGTCAAAGGCCACAGGCCTCTGAAAAGACTGTTGAATGCATATCAGCTGCTCCTGAAGTCAGTTATGCCTGGGTTTAATTCTGATACTAGCTTTTCAGCACTTAACTGACTAAACAGGTCAAAATCCAAAATAAATTTTGCTTAGTGCTACTCATAATAATAAAGATCGTTTTGAGATATTGGACATGAAAGAGAAACAGTTAAGGGCCTTAGCCCACCAGAGCCAGCACTTACCTCAATTATAGGAGGCTCCACTAAGGTCAGTGAGGAGCCAGGGAATCCCAGACGGAGCAAGGCCTGCAGAGTTGTGTAGCACTCCATGCTGTTTCCATAGACTACAATTTTTTCTGCGGGGGGGAAAAAATTAAGAAATTGGCTTAAGATTCATTGAAAAGTTTAACTTCAATGGCATTTGGAATTAGGTTCTTACTTATGAATATAATAGAATGGTATTTACGTTTCTGGGCCTCATGAATCTTTGATTTCCTCGTATATCTATTTAATAATATGGACGTACGTTTCAACAACTCAGCTTCTGTATCTAACAATAACATAAAGCACTTCCTGTTCTCAATCTTGAGCTACATTGACTTTATTAAGATCTTCCAACACATAAGTTTTAATTTTAACTTAAATTTATCTTTTGTTTATTGTATTGTAGTTTCTGCTGAAGAAGACATCTGCCCGAAACATCCTGTATCGGGAAATTTGATAGAAAGAAATTTCGTTGATGGAAAATATATAGACAGAAATTTGATCGAATGGAAATGTGGTCAAATATTTTTTTCAGTACATGCGTTAAAATTTTGCTTCAAATTTCTTTTTTAATGCATTATTTTGTTTACTATAGTATAGTGCGTTCAAAAAGAAATTTGACGAAATTTTAAAATGTGAACTGAAAAAAAGAATTGACCAAATATCTGTTTGATCAAATTTCCGTCGATCAATTTTCCATCGACGAAATTTCTTTCAATCAAATTTCTGGTAACAGAAACATCTGTTTAGTTGTCTTGTCTTTTATTTTCAAGGCTAAACATATCTTGTTCACTATTTATTTACTTTACATGGCATGAACGAGGTCCTCATATTATCATTTATTTTTATTTTTTTTTAAACATTTTTTTTGCTGGCATCCATCCATCCATCCATCACAGTGTGGCGATGGTGTACACTTCACAGGATGAAATCCACAAGGCCTAGGCTTATTCTTTTTAAGATTATAAGCTGGTTCCCTACAAAGCAAATTGTCTCTCTTCACGCCACTGGATAACCCAAGGGAACATCATGTGGATGATACAGCTTGGCACCAGTGGCTTCGCAGGATTTGTCAGAGTGTTTCACTGTGCCGATGTTTTCCGCCTACGGGACTCCATCTCTGGGTTTGAATTCAGAGTTCCCTTCCCTTAGATGAGTCAACAAGTCTCATCCACCAGGGTCCCTCATATATTATCCCTATTTATAAGGGGATGCTTGGAGTAAAAATCTTGAATTATCCTTGGCTGGGATTTCAGTTTTGCAATTGGATCATGATTTGTCTTGAATATCACACATGATTTGTCTTGAACATCACACATGATTTGTCTTGAACATCACACATGATTTGTCTTGAACATCACACATGATTTGTCGTGAACATCACACATGATTTGTCTTGAACATCACACATGATTTGTCTGAAACACCACACATGATTTGTCTTGAACATCACACATGATTTGTCGTGAACATCACACATGATTTGTCTTGAACATCACACATGATTTGTCTTGAACATCACACATGATTTGTCTTGAACATCACACATGATTTGTCGTGAACATCACACATGATTTGTCTTGAACATCACACATGATTTGTCTGAAACACCACACATGATTTGTCTTGAACATCACACATGATTTGTCGTGAACATCACACATGATTTGTCTTGAATATCCCACAACATTACTCCCAAGTATAAAAACTACATGGCATCCTTGTAAAAGGTTCTGTGAATCCCAGGTGACCTTCAAAACTATGATGTCTAATGTACCCAGGTAATTGGGTGACCCACTTTTTAATGGAATTCCCCATGATTGATAGTCTCAATCAAACTTTTAGAAAAAAGTTAGTTTCAGCTATTTCCAATTACAAAACTTAGAGTAATGGAAATGAAAAGAGTATAATGAATTAAATCCTCAATGTATGTGACAAATCTAAATAACGAATACGACTGCGCTGTAATAATCTAAAGGAAATGAATGTAGGTAGAAGAAGATGAAACTAAAGTTATGAGGAAACTCATTCAAATTATACAATGCTGTATTGATTTTTAGCTTAATTATAAATCTCTTTAAAATGTTTAATAAATTTTAAATGAAGATTTCAAGACACTACACTTCTTATTTAGATTTGTGTAAAAAAAAAACTCTTGGAAGACCCAAGAGAGGTGAGCAAGGATGTAATGAAGATATGAAAAATCTATGAAGATGGCTAGGGGTCAGAAGGTGTGGAAAGATATGTTTAAGGCAAAGAAGAAGGAGACAACCCTTGGTAGAAAAAAATTCTGACCGCAAATTTCTATTAACATGAGAAAGTGACTTGAACTTAATGGTAATTCTTACTGTTGTGAGGTGTAATGTCCAGCCTGAGCAGTAGCATGGCAGCATCGTAAGTGTCATTAATCAGGCAGAGGTTGGGTGGGACGGGGCCCTGGTAATGTTTCTCCGGGGGCTGTGGTAGGTTCTGATTGGTGACGTTGTTGTGCACATCGGCACCAGTTGGTGTTGGGACCTGAAACTGCTGTCCAGTACAAATGACCAAATGGTCGTAGGGTACTATGCTGGTTCCATTTACAAGAACTTGCTTTTTTGTCCTGGAGAATTAAACCAGATTTCATCAAAGGATTTTCTGCCCAAGTAATAAAATGGTTTCTAAAATTTGAAAATTCTTTGTTATCTCTTATTGAGCAGTACAAAACATGATCAGCTACACACACCGCACAAGAATAGTTAAAAAGTTGTTAATAGTTTTGGTCATGATATAATAAATCTGTTATTATTTTTCTTTATACAGCTAAAAGGGAATATTTTCTTTATACAGTTAAAAGGGAATATTTTTCTTTATACAGTTAAAAGGGAATGTTTTTCTTCTCGAAGTGGTGATGTTTTTAGCTATGGGCTAAACCACACTATATGTCACAGTAATTGCTTGCCTGTTGATTGCTGTCATCTTCCCATATACAACATTGATCCATGTCCTCAAGGATATTTTGGCAAAACCATCATCTTTTGGGAAGGCGAAACTGGAATAAATATATCATAGAGTCTGGTTATTTAAAATCATGCGCATTTTAAAATAATTTCATGTATAGTAAAATGATGAAGGTGGATGGGGCACACTCTTCGCAAACCCCCAGATAAGATCAGCAGACAATCCCTAACATGGAATTCACAAGGGAAAGGGTAGAGAGGAAGGCCGAATAAAAAATGGAGACACAAGCTAGAGGCAGGCACACAAGGTATGGGATACACCTGGAAGCAATTGGAAAAGAAAGCACAGGATTGATATGAATGTAAAATTCTTGTCGATGGCCAGGTAGGGTGAAAAGCATAAGTAAGTAAGTAAAAAGTTGTTTGCTCTTTAAAAACGTTTAATTGATTTAAAACCGTTTGTACATTTAAATAATTTTTTTTCAATTGAAAGAATAAATATAAACTCATCAATTCAACAAATTTTTGTACCGGTATTCAAGTTGTTTCTGAGAAAAATCAATTCCGAAATGGTTTGACTTGTAAAATGATTTTTTCCTAGTTAAAATTAAAAGCATTTTTCTCATATCCGACCACTTATTCTGTGAATAAAAATCATTTCAAAGCCAAATATCTGGAAGTCGGTTTGAGTTTTGATAATAAATAGAAGTATTCTTCACATATAGGCCTACATATATATTTATAAATATATATAAGTATTTCCTGAAGATTTTGAAGTCTCACCTTTGTGGTAGGAACATGTCTCTGAGTTCATGAGGTGGGAGGTCACCAGGTATACCATGAGGGGAGATCAGTGTGATGTTATTGAACTTTAAATGTGGACTGTAGGGAAAATGTAGGCAAGCTGATTTAAGATGCTTGTGAATTTTAATTTTGTCATAAAAGCAACAGGGGAGATAAACTCAGTGTGATTCTAATACTATTTGTAATCTCCCATGTATTTTCATTTTCACTTTTGGTGCAATCAATAAATGACACACTATTTTGGGATTTCGGCCCCCCCCCCCTTCCCAAAATTGTTCCACAATTGTCATAAAATTTAAACATCCTTGGCACACATTGTCACATATTTGTGAATCCCTTCCCCCTAAATATGTTACCTCATTTATGGCTATTTGTAATCTCCCATATATTTTCATTTTCCCTTTTGGTGCAATCAAAAAATGACACCCTATTTTGGGATTACGGCCCCCCCCCCCCCTTCCCAAAATTGTTCCACAATTGTCATAAAATTTAAACATCCTTGGCACACATTGTCACATATTTGTGAATCCCTTCCCCCTAAATATGTTACCTCATTTATGGCTGGCCCCTTAATTTCTAATAATATGATTAATTTATGTATTAGTAAGTAGATCTTGCTTCAATAAATAAATTACAAAGAAGTCATCACTGTAAGAAATAAGCAGTTCTGAAAGCTCTTTTTTGTTCCCCATACCCCACCTTTTATCCTGGTTAGAATAGCTAATATGACAATGTTCGTATAATAATTACATACCAAAACACAAGTGTCTCTAAGAAGGTAAGTCCAACATCTGATGCTCCGACTACAACAATGCGGGCATTTATGGAAACCTTTGTATAGAAACATAGGGATCTTTATGTTAACCCAACATGTACACAAGCATACACAAGCAAATACTGAATTCCCTGACTGTAACAGGTTATAATGTTTTCATACACATGCTTTACATATTGATGTTTGTGCACTGAGTTATAACAAAATTGGTCCTATGATTTGTGGAAAAGCTAGGAACGATGATACAACTGAATTGCTGGTCTTAATTTGTTTTTTTTTAAAAACCTTAAACGGTCTTACGTTAAAATTAAAGTTAAATCAGAATTTTTTCACTATCTAATGTGATCACAGCATAATAAGATATGTCTGCACCAATACAAGAATCTTGTCTTATTTTATCATATCTTAAACAAAATCAAAAGGTATGTTGGAACTTTGCACAAAGACATAAACTCCAACAGACATGTCTTATGGCAGACCAAAAAAAAAGGGACAAACCAATCATGTGGCTCACCTTTGGCTCAAGGACTAGTTTCCTGTTGATGTGATTCAGGGCAAAAGGAGGAAGCTTCTTTATCACCCGATCTGATGGCCCATTGATGCCGAGTCCATCAGGGTAGTCAATCTGGCGCCTGGCTCGTACTGGGACCAGGGAGCTTAGTCCAGTGATTAATGAGTGCTTTGCCAGGGTCTAAATATACCATACATGATTAATGATGAAGTGATTGAATAATAAGGTTCTTAAATGAGTATGGATAGATTGTAAAAGAAAATACCTCACCGATTTTATTATGACTATTTATTAAAATCATTTTTTACCATAAACCCAAGGTAAATATTTATTTTTTTTAAATTACAGATTTTTGTGTCTAATAATAAAATTTACCTCTTCTGTTGTATATGCTGGATATAGAGGATAATAAAGGCTTGTTTTTCTTGAAAGTCGAAGTATTTCCTGAAATCATTTGTGAATAATGGTAAACCATGAGAGCTATTAACAAAAGTTGTTTTTTTGTTTAAAATTGTGCAAAAGTGATTGATTATTGACTTTTTTCTTTTATTGACCACATTTTCCAATAACAATTAAAATAGTGGTTACTTTTCTGCTAGCATAGATATTTAGTTATAAAACATTGAGAGATGCCTCTTGCTCTATATATTATTGCTGTTTGTACAAAAAAGTAATATAACTGGTTCCATTTAGATTAATGTATTAATAATTTATACAACTTATGCAATGCTCATGCCAGGTATTAGCAGTGGAATATGAAGTCCATTCCTTGAACCTCCTGACCAAAGCTACAAAGAAAATGCGCTGAAATTTTTTTGCGTTATTTTTTCTTTAATTGCATCTTTATCTCCCTCACCTGTTACAGCTCAATGCAGGTTAAGGACCCAGAGAGATATTATACAATAAATACATTTTGGTAGCTCTAAATTTAAAACACCACAAAAAGGGGTGGGGGTAATTAGCATAACTTAAAAAACTTTAAAATATATTTTGTTCAGTTCTAATTAGGTCTGCCTCATGAAAGACCTATATGGAAAGTAATTTTTAAACAGATAATTTTTATTAAGCAATTAATGTCCTTTGGATTATGCATGTCCTCTGTCACATATTACAACGTTACAAATTGTTTATTAAATAATATTAAAATATTTTTGTTGACATATCCATGTTTAATTTATTAAAAGCAAAATCATTCTTATCAGATTTTTGGTCAGTAGCTCCCAAAGAATGCTAAATTTAAACATTCAAATCAATCAAATGTATAAAATAATTTGAATGATACTAAAAGCCATATCTTTACCTTAAAGAAATGTTTGGTCAAGTGATTGAAAACTGGATTTAGGACAAAGTGATGCAGGTGGCCATGTTGGTCTCTTCCATGATGGTTGAAGTAGATGAAGTCCTCAATATTATAATTTGAACGGATGTATTCAATGTTCTAGTAGAAAACATCATTATGGCTAAAGGTGATTCATGCATTACTACACATTTAATTTATATGTAAGATATTACCTACAAAATGATAGTTTTAGTATGCTCAAAATGTAACAAATTTATTATTATTGCATTTTCAAGCTAAGTATTACTTTAAAAAGTGAGTCTTGCTTTTGAAAAGTTTTCAATGCAGTTAGCAAAGAAAATGAAATATTTATGTTGAATGAATAACATGTTATGTTAATACTATATGCGTCATAAATAATATACACTATTTGGGGAATGTTGAAAAATAAAATAGGGTATAAGTATTTTAATTTCACAATTTAATAAGAGCTTAACTATTTTACTTCATTTTATAAACTATGTTAAATGAAAATGGCCCATTCATCATCTCAGAGATACTACTTCCAGTGTTTCAAAATTGTCAATAAAAGATCAAGAATTGATGTGGTGGAATAGATGATCAAGACAACAAAAGATAATATACAACTTTTTGTTTCTGATTTACCTCTTCTCTTCTCAGAATGGATAAGCCGACCACCTGCCCAAGGCATTCCCCAACAAAAGCTTGAATTTCAGTTCCATCCTAAGGAAAAGTTCAAAAGCATACCAAATTAGAATCATAGTGAGGTATACAATATTTAAAATAAGAAAACCTGGATTTTTGTTGGATGAAAGATGCCATGTATATGTTTTTCTTTTCTGTACAAAGCCAATGCAAATATCTAAAAATTGATTTTCCATGCTTTTATATAAAGATTTGAACAGTATTAAACTAGAAAGGAAGGAAGCATAATCAAAACAGTTTTTTTCGTTCAGATTAAAAAAAAACAAGCAACAAAAAATCTTTGATGTTCAGTAATACATTTTTGAAACAAAATTTGTTATTATTTATGAAAAATTTAATTTATTATATTACATATGTCATCAATTATCTGCATTTTTACATATTAAATCTGCTAACAATTTGTCTGGAAATTTGAGTTAATACTGTAAATTTTTTTAGTCATTTTGTCAATGATAAGGAATATAATTCTGTTTCATTCTTCAGAGGTTCACTAATATTCATTTATGTTAATTAAAAACTACTGTATTCTTTTGAAAGTTTAAGTGTCACACATATTATTATTATTATAACCATAATGATGGACAAATAAAACTTTTGTTGCAACACATAGAAAATGGCTTTTTTAGAGTATGTATATTTTAAAAAGAACTTTGTGAATAATTACCTTTTCTAACGACATTTCACAAACAATTCAAGTCCAATATGTGAGTTACAGCTTGAGGGGAAAAGATTATTATTCTATTGAGGTGTATTATTATCAATATATTCCTAGTTATAGATGAATTCAAACAGTAAAAACAATGATGATGTATTTCACTTACATTGTCACGTTTAGCAATGTAGTACTGTTTCATGTCAGAAATAATGTGCTCATTTAATTCAATGGTGGACACAAGTTTTTCAATAGCTTCGAAATCTTTGGGAAAAGCTGGGCGTACTTTGAAATTCCTGAAATTGTAAGTTATTTTTACTCAAAAGATTTTTTTTTAGAAGTCAAAGTGGAAATTTACTTCACAAAGAAAATTAAATTTGCTGATGTTTAGCACTGATCAGGAAGTTTTTCATAACCTCTTACCTCTAAAGTTTAAAAATGACATAAGAATTACCATTAAACCAAATATTTTTCATACATTTTCAATGGGCAAATTGTGACATTGGTCAATTTTTATAAGTGCCTCATACCCTAGTACATCCATTCCCATATTGTTGGATTTAAGTCCGATATTAAAAGTTTTTATTGATTTTTTACATTTTATGACCAAATATTATATTGCAATGATTTACCATTTTGGCATTGTTGAAAGAGCATTCTCATCTTAAACATAGATTAGTATTAAATATACAGCAGCTCCCGATTTGAGATTATATTATCTTCATTTGAACCTGATTTTTTTTTTTTTAACTAGTATACAAGAAACAACCTCAAGGATGCCATTCAAATTATTAAGAGCCATGTTGGAACCTTTGCATACCAATACAAGATGAATAACTTGTTTTAAATGAAATAAATAATATTGGAACTTTCATTAAAAGTTAATGTGGTTGACATTTTTTAAATATTATTTTATATATGAAAAAGGGAAGCTGAAATAAAATAGACAATAAAAGCGTAGAAATGGCAATAGCTTTATCTGATTTATTGGATTATTTACCTTTTTTAAGGATTAGTGGAGGAAAGGTAAAAAAAAAAAAAAAAAAAAAAAAGTTTAATAAAAGGGAACTTGGAAATTAAAAAAAAAAATAAAATAGACAAAAAAAGCGTAGAAATGGCAATAGCTTTATCTGATTTATTGGATTATTTACCTTTTTTAAGGATTAGTGGAGGAAAGGTAAAAAAAAAAAAAAAAAGGGAAAAGTCTAATCAAGGGGAACTTGGAAATTAAAAAAAGGTTGGGAACTGCTGGTCTAGTTTATTAGTTCCGATTAAAAAAGCAACACCACAAGATCTAATCCTGGTAAAATGCCTTTTTGCTGCAATGTGAAACAAATATTATATATTTGAATCTTAAAGTCTTATTGCCTAAAAAAGCTGGCTTGTTGAATAGCAGATATGAAATATTATATAATTACTCCAGTCTTAAGATATAATGAAAATAGATGATTTTTTTCTCGATTTTTTGCAGTTTTTAACAAAGATGATAGTGTACATTGATTACAAACGAGAATCTTGAAGTTCAGGCTTAATGTATTACGTCAGTGGTCGGCGAATCTTGGCTCTTTCGCAGCCTGAGTGGGGCTCGGCCAGTCAGCTACAAATCGGTTTTGGCTCCTAAAATTACATGTCTTGACAGATTTTTAAAGGAGATTTGGCTCTCAAACAATTTTTAATCATCCTGCTGCTGATTTTTGGCTCTTTTGACTAATGAGTTTGCCGATCACTGTATTATGTAACACAAAAACTTACTTCAGCAGTCCTGAACGATGGAACACATAAAGTTCTTGAGGAAGGATGCTAGGAATTTTTGGTGTCACTCTCTGAAAAGAAATAAATTTTTTTTTGTTTTAGCAAACAACTTTAACTTTTTAGTGCTGAAAATTTAAATATAGATGACTTATTTATTCATGACAAAGAAAACTCACCACAAAGCTTTGAATAAGAGGAAATTCTGGGACCATGTGTGGCACAGTGATGACACAGAAGTCACGGTCAGGAAATTTTGAGAAGGCCACAGGCAAAAAATCAAACGATCTGGGAATGAACAAGGAAGAAATGATTTAGAAAACATGCATTGCTTCAAGTGCACCTAGGCACTTGATTCCTGGCCAATGCCTCTTAAACCAAATGTATTTAGATAAGTGTTTGAAAAGACATTTTTTTAAAAACTTTTCAACTAATCGAGATTTTTTATTTTGAGGTTGTCGTACTGCACAATTTTGGCGCAAAGTTCAAAGAATTGTCCTACTGTTCTTTACCTCATTTCATACTGCTCAGCAATGCAGAACAACTGGATGCTGAATGCGTTTGGTGCTCCACAAAAAGTGGGGACAAATCTCTTCAAGGGAGGGGGCAACAGAGACTTTGGGACCTTGAGTTGGTTGTGTTCCTGGTGTGACAACACATTATATATGAAATATCATTAGCAGCAATAAATAAAATTTTTAAATAGGATACTAAAGGGACAAGTGTCCTAAAATAAAGGAGAGGTTTACAGATGTAGTGGAAATTTTACACAGATTAGTATAAAATATTTGGAAATTTTAACATGAGACAATATTATTTTAAAAAATAAGGGTAACAACTCCATTCAGAAAGTATTACTATTAAAATTCATAATCTCAAACCTAAATAATACCTTCTTAAAAAAAAAAAAAATGTTTAATTTGGCTTAGCCGCTCCCTCTTTAAAAAATAAACATTTACAATTTTGCATAATTCTTTGATCTCTATTAGAGAAAATAAACTTACACTTGGTTTAGGCAGTTCTATGTTGGTTGGGCTTATAGATAAAGAAGTCCGAGGGGTCTTTGTGTAGGTTGAACTGTCAGAGATACCAATCAATGGCTGCTCACTCAGCTTCGTGATATTAGGTGAGCTAATTTTAGCTGTAGAAAACATGACACAAATCTATGCCAGAAGTTTTGAGGAAATCTGTAGCTTGTATATAGGCAACTGGGTGTCTAAATTCAGATTTGTCATATTTCAGGAATCAAAATCACTTTTCCATTCTTTCACTCTCGCCTTGTCTCCTAAGGGCAAATCCGTAAATGAGTTCGTGCTTGTGATGTCTTTTATGGATTATAACATAGATATAAATGTGTATGTGAGTCTGTGTGTGATTAGTTTTGTAGTTAAAAAAGACCTGCACTATACACCATTTTAAGTGGTTTTTTTTAGACATCCCTCCATGTCATAGTCCTCTTTTTCCCTAGCAGGTTTTCTAAAATTATCAAACCTTACGTTTTGAACTGTTTTGACTGCATACTGACAGAGCATCATCTCCTTTGTCTTGATCAGGTTCTTAAAATAGAAAGCAATCAACAAACTTTTTTTTTTTAAAGAATAAAGAAAATATCAGTTTTGTGAATAAGTAAAAAATATTAACATGCCGTTTCTTAAGTCTTGTCTTATCAAAATATCTTTTTACGATGGAAAAAAAGTGAATAAACAAATTATGAAAGTTAAGTAATTTGAAATCTCTAAGACCTAGTCTTGAACAGAACAATACTGCATTCTGAGTGCTAACACTCCTGAAATCATGTGCTAATTGTTCACTGACGTAAATGAGCAGCATGTTGTGTAGTTTGGGGATTGAGTGAAGACACCTATGTTATTTTGCCACCCATTTAGTACTGAGAGTCTCATTAATAGGATGGTCTAAATTTAATATTTAGGGCCTCTATATTATTGTGTTAGTTAATGGGATTCTTCCTGGTCTGTTCCTTGTATTTAATGGCTTGTAATCTATATACATACATGAAAGTTATGATCTTGCATATGTTCTTTAAGCCAAGTGCATAAAATAGGATTTGGATATTAGCACCAAATTGTATTTTGCAGGTCCCAAAGAAACATTTTGATGCTCCTAGTGTGTCAAGTGTATTTTACTTCCCGAACTGTAGGGCTTTTTTTATTTTTAAAACAATATTTATTTGAGTAAAAATAATGCAAAAAAATGTAATTGGTATTAGTGTTTTTTTGTCTGCACTGAATCTGTTAATCTAAAATTGTGGATTTTCTGTGAAGAAAAAAATTAAGATACCATCTCCATCCACTTGGGTGACACGAGACTCTGATCGACTGGAGAGCAGTGGAGGCTTGATGTTATCATCAGGATGTGGTTTTCTCAACCCATTGAATGGGATTAACTCAAAACATTCATTGAGAAGGTCAAGATTCACATCTGTACTAATACTCATAAAGCCATAAGAAGTCTTCTCCACCTGATAGGAAGATTATCAACATTGAAAACAAAGCCAGGGATCTCATTACTTAGTATCCCAAAATTTAAAAAAAAACACATTGAGACTGGAGGGGCCCAAAACCAAAGAAGAACCACTGCTACGTAACATTTGAAATTACTGTAACTGCAATAAGACCAAAGGGCCACATGGGAATAATTCAAATGTGTTGGTTCTTATTTTAATATATGTAAAACCAATCACTTTGTTGGATTCAATGGATAGAGTTAAGAGGACTGCTTGAAGCCCAAGGCCTTGAGTTTGAGACCTGATCTAAACTAAAGACAATAGACTGAAGGTTTCTCACCTCGGCCACAAGGCACTGCATGTCTGCATCCTGGGCCTCAATCAGCTCTGCCAAGAAGTAATCTCCATACGTTGTGTGAAGCATATCACTTTGTCGGTTGAAAATTGGGGTCAGGTCATCATGATCTTCAACACTAGAAAAATCATATTTGTTGAGAATAAGATTGTAGCCTTAGACTAAAAATTAAAAACATGGTTATAAATTTGATGACAATGCACACATTTTGTAACATTAAGTGAGCCTCATTTGTATGGCTAAAGTTGGAAAGAGAACATATTCATGAAATTTCATTAATCTGTTGTATCAAGCTGTCTGCATGTCCCAACCAGAAGATCTCAGAAGCAGAGGCATAAAATATCAAAAATGCCATCATCAAAATAAGCTTTAGATTAAAGTCTAATGCTGGTATAAATTTTACTCACAAAGCTTGTCTAATGTGCAGTGTTCGCACATGCTCATGTCTTTTGCAAACAAAGAGAGAGTGAGTGTCTGATGTCTCATCATTTTGTTTTTTCTCCATTAATGAGAAAACATTTCCTAAGCAGGGCTCTAAAAGAAGAAGATTCAGAATAATTTTTAAGGAGCAAAAACATTTTTTTTTAAATCAATGATAATAAAAAAAAAATACACAAAATATTTTTATTAACTTTAAATTGGTTTTACTAACAAAATGTAAATAGATTTATGGAACAAATTTAATATTAGCATTTTTAGAGAGAAAAACAAAATATCTCAGATCAATATCAAAACTATAATTAAAATTACAAGTTTTATCTGGTAGTGTTTATTGAACTGAATAAAATTTCAAAGTATCATTTATTAATTTCATCCGTCTTCAAATTAAAGATATATTGAAGTGCTTTTTTTATTTTTCTCTTAAATTCCTTTTGTTGAGAGTGTCCTTAAAAACAAGAACCAAAGAAAACAATCACAGCCTTTTATAATAGAGCACCTGCTTTGTATCCATCAGGCACTAGCAAAAACAAGAAATGGAGATCGGGTACAGCATTAAAGGCTGTCTTGATAATCTCTTGTGCACAGCCCATATCATAGTGTGCTTTTGAAACAAAGTAATGAAGAAAAAGACTGTTGAGTGGTGTTATCTGTGGAGGGAATAAAATCAGATGTTATAAAAAAGAAAATATTAGACTATTGTTTTATATCATTCTAATAATTTATTTCCTGACTCCTGGCAACCTTTGAGGATAACATAGTAAACAGGCTACCTTCATATTTTATCAATTTAAAAAAAATAATAATCTAATACAACCAATAAAATTTTTATGAATGCATACATTTTTAAATGAGTTATAAAAAATTTTTTTTATCTTTTAGCTTTATTAAGAAATACAGATGACAGCAAACATCACAGTAATGCCATGTATTTGTATGGTCTTTGTATTAGTATCTTACCATTCTTAAATTGTTTTAAAGCATTTTTTTTACCTCAGGAATTTTTTTAAAACATTGAATATATAAAGCATTTATTACCTGTTCATTGGTGTATCTTGAACTAAACCACAGTTCCCAATCAGCCTGGTCGACATTTGGATGATTTGGGTAGTCAAGAAATGCAGCATGTCCCATAATCTCATCATCTTTGTTACAAAGTGTAATGGCTAGTACTGCTTTCTCGCTGTATTAAATGAGAATGTTTCTCATGGCAGTGCATTTTGTATTTCTATTTTTTTAACACGGGGGATGGGGGGGTGGGGGGGGGGTTGTTTGTTAAAATATTATGTATACTGGGTGGGCCAATAAAAGTGAGAACATCTAGTAAAATATTACACTACGAAATGTTCTCACTTTATTGGCCCACCCTGTATATGTGAAGTTTAATAGCTGTAGAGAGTGGTGTGTCCATATGTATAGCAGGCAAATATGTTCATTCCCTTAACCACTGCAATTAATTAATAAATTGTATATGAGAAACTTTAAAAAATGAATATAAATACACATTTTTCCTTGAACTAGATTTTTTTACGATGTGGGATAGACTATATCAAATCAATGCAGTGGAAATTTAGGCCTAATCTAGAAATCTATTAACATAAAAAGAAATTTAAACATACATAATATTCACAATGTTTACTCTCCCAAACAACATCTCTGTCCATGCTTTCTCAAGCTTTAGGATATGAGGGGCATCTAAGGACTCGGTACGTCTTGCAGTAATTACTTCTGCATCAGCCTCCACTTGAAATGAAGCCATTTTCTGTACAGTTGTACAGTGACAGATTAAAGCTAAGGGTTTAGTTTTAAGATTATATCTGTAAATTAAAACAAATAAAATAATTGCTTTACAAAATTATTTTATAACTGTTATTATTAGAGGTGGCTAAGCTAATTTTTAACAAAAAAAGTTGAAATGAAATCAGAAAGTAAAGTAATTATAAGTAATAATGAATTAATAATAATTTAATTTAGCCTATTTTTGTTTGCACAAAGTCATCCATATTATTATTGCTAATAAGTTTTGTTATTATTAGTGGTAGTAGAAGTATTTACACAAACTGAAATAATTAGTTAAAATCATGTGTCGCTGGCTTTCGGTATTTCAAGCAATGTAGTCAGTTAAAAATAGAGTAATGCGCCATCATTGTCTTAGCAACGTAAACTTCCTGTTCTGTCATGCACGCGTATTGGTAAACCAGAAGAGCGGTAAACTATTGCATCGTCTGCTGATTTAAAATTGATTAAAATTGCCACCAAAAAAAAAGGACAAATAATCTTTAAAAAATATATATTTAATAAAATTAAAATGGGAGAGCAGTGAGGGGTCATCCATTAATTACGTCAACAATTTTTACGCAATTTTTTACCCCCTCCACTCATTGTCAACAACTGTCAAACTTTCGATGACCCCCCTATTTAATTATGTCAACATTTTATATCCCCCCCCACCCACCCACAAAAAAAAATAATTATAATATAAAAAAAATTATAAATACATTTTGGTTTGTGTAGATCTATTTAACTGACACATAAAATTGTAGGGGAAAAAATTACATGTTTAGCTTGTTAATCAACAAGTTACAAAGGTTTTACACTTAAATTTTGTAAGGCAGAATCTATTTAAAGGTTGTTAAGGACTAAATATCATTGTTTGTGGAAGTTTAAATATGATTATTGTCAGTACAGCTGACAATTAATTAATAGTAAAGTTTCTAGATGCTATTGTCTTCCCATGGAGTAGCCAGTTGTTGCTCTATCGTAGCAATGGGCATCAAGGACATCATTTGGTATGGCAAGGGGGGGGGGATTTGCCCCCCCCCCCCCCCCCCCCCCCCCCCGAGTGGGGGGGTTTTTTTTTTTTTTTATTTTTTTTTTTTTTAGGGGGGGGGGGGATTTGCCCCCCCCCCCCACACACACACACGATTGTGCGAATTTTTTTTTTTTTAAATTGTTATGTACTGTGGCGCCTCCAGTTATAAACAACTTAAGAAACCGACCCTTCCCCGGAAAAAAACCCTGAAATGACGCCCCTGATGGGCATAGTCTATAGTAGCTGATTTATCATTTTCATCTTGCGGAATTGATATAGGCCTACCAGACAAGTCAACTTCTTCCTTATCTAACCATTCAGCACTTAAAATAGAAGTATTGTCGGTGTGAGCAATAATTGCCGTAAGCTCTCTCTGTCTTTGACTTGGTATAGCTGTTATTGAACACCAATGAGTTGGAGTTTTTTTTTTTTAAATTGAAATCCATGTACAATAATGTGTTAATCATTCCAGGGAGCAGATTAAGAGAAAAATGACAGATGAAGAGATGCCAATTTTTGACTTCTGGGGCCGTCCATAAAGTACGTCACGCTATTTTTTACCATTTTACCCCCCTCCCCCTGTCAAAAACTGTCACAAATCTCGGACCCCCCCCCCCAAGTACGTCACACTTTCAAACATTTAAAAAAAAAATTAACACCTAATTAAAATTTAATCTAAAACATACTTCACTAAAAGTACGTCACGCTATTTTTTACCATTTTACCCCCCTCCCCCTGTCAAAAACTGTCACAAATCTCGGACCCCCCCCCCAAGTACGTCACACTTTCAAACATTTAAAAAAAAAATTAACACCTAATTAAAATTTAATCTAAAACATACTTCACTATTAAACTGTATTAAAATATAAAATTTCCACTTAATTTCCACTATCACATTATTAAAATGACTTTAATTGTAAAATAGTTAATTGTCAACAGTTGTCACAGTTATTCATTGAAGCAGTAACTCAAACTAGATTGAATTTGGAAACAAAAATTGCAATAATTAGACTAGACAATTATTATATAATACACATCATTTATCTGCTGCTTTTTCAGTTACAATAGGTGAGGTCAAGATTTAGATAATCTTCCGATTGTGCAATCTTTTTACACAGGTTCAGAAGTATATTAGAGAAACTTGACCTCACCAAATGATTAAATAATAAAAAGGACAGTGATATAATTATGCAGCGGACAACAAAGAAATAATAATACTTCAGGAAAGACGAAAGCAAGGCTATACATAAAACAAGGCTTCGCCACAGCATACTAGCTCTCCTAGCGAGAGGAATCGTGAACAACACATTCAGGAGATACGCATTTCATGCTATTTTGACATCAAACTAATTAAAATGATACACCTTTCTGGAGCGTGACGTACTTTATGGACGGCCCCTCTCTTGCACTAACAAAGTGTGCAAACATTCTGACCAGCCATCTGCAGTGCATAGAAAGACACACATTAAAAAACTCGTATACTTATAGTGTTCAAAGTCTAAACATACATGACTATTTACACTCATTGAATTGTTTAAAATAATGTACGAACCAGTCAATTTTTAAGATTAACACATTCGAAGAAAAAAAACATGATCGTTGACGTCAACTAATCTAAAAATCCCACCTCCCCCTTCTGTCAAGCATTTCCAAACAACCACCCCACCCCTCTATTTGTTGACGTACTTAATGGACGCCCCCTGAGAGGAGAGATAGGAAGAAGGGTGTCAAATTAATTTTCAAAAAGCAATAAATTATCATTTATTTTAGGATGCCTGGCACTGGCCTGTACGACAACAGAGTATCAAAAATCAATGAATTGAATGAATGATTTTTATGACAATCGATGGTGTGGACTTCAATATGGACATGGAACAAAACAACAGCATATCAAATCTGTATGATTTTCATAGGACCCCTATCTCTTGGACAATTTTTAGTAAATTAAATGGTGAAACTGGCATTAATATTACTATCATTTTGTTTTACTAAATTCTAATGGTACCCGGGTGCGAATGGCGGTGCTGCGTGTCGGGGTCCATTTTGACTCAATGCTATTCGGATGTATTTTGTGGTAATTTGTGGTAAATTTGATTTAAACTGAAGAATTAAGTTTACAAGCATATAGTCAATTCAATTATCTTTCATTTGATTCCTCATTTTGTCTTACAAACCCAAAAATAATACTTTAAATAGTTTTTTTAATCCCAACCTCTCACTTCTGATACCCGGTGCGAATAGCCACTTCGTATTTAAATGTTAGTTTAGTTCTATTCATTTCTATACTACACCAGAGTGTACTGTTCTCTCAGTAACAATGAGTAATTTTTAATAAGGGATCCCATCAAAATTTTTAGCCCACCGGGACAGAATCCCACTAGAATGCGGGATCCAACTGGGATTGGGATCCCAACTGGGATTGGGATACGAACGGGGTGGCACAGGGATGGGGAACTCACGGGATCAGAATGCAAATGGTATCGGGAACCCACCGGTTTTTAAACCCACCGGTATCATGATCCCACTGGGATCGGAAAACCACCGAGATCGGAAAATCACGAGATCGGAAAATCACCAGATGGAAACCACTGGGATCGGGATCCAACCGTAAATAAACCATCATATAACATAGGTAGTGGTTAAAAGAAAGAAGGATGTATTGAAATTGATAAAATTACATAGTAAATTACGAGTAGTTCACAACATAGATTTTACTGTCCTGAGCATTTGGACTTCCAGCAAATAAATACCATCATGTGATCGAGCGCGATTTTACCGGAAATAGCTCAGTTTTATCACAGTGAGTTTTAACTGAGTTGCAATACGCAGGTATGGTTTGTTTGGCCCAGCAATCCCAACAAGAAGGTTAAGACTTAAAATGTTTATAAGTTAACTGGTAAATTAATCAATAATATCGGAATGGAAACAGATTATTATAATGATGAATTTGAGCCTCCTTACAGTTTAAGTGATTGCAGAAGACAACTAATGAATGATTTTGCAGAAGTAAGTGTTATTTTATTTTATTACTTTTTGTAAATTAATGATTAACTATGACTATAAATATTAACTTAAATCAAAACTACTTCATAGTTAATACAATTAATAATTAATTGTTGTAAGTAAATTAATAAACTACACAGTTTAATAAAGTTAAAATAAATAATTATTTTTGAGTGAACTGTAGGCCTAACTAAAAAAAAGTATGAGTGAGCAAATTTAGGTAATCTACCACTTTTCTATTTTAAAAATTGTATTTACAATCATAAATGAAAATGTAAAATAAAATAATTTTATATTAATAATTAATATTATCAGTTAAAAGAAAATAACCCTTTAAATTTAAATAGGCCAAATTAAAATAATAAATAGCACCTCAAGCTGGAACAACATATTTTTTTAATAAATAACAATAACATTAACATTCAACATTTGTAATTTATCATAATTTATACAATCAATATGTTATTATTATTAACATTAACCTTGTTACTTACAATATTTATTTTCATTAGTATTTTCAAAATTACTGTAAGGGTTTTCTTTTAGATTTAGGTGTTAATCAGGGCCAGGGCAATTTTAAGAATTTTAAGCTTAGGCCTAGGCGGCATTAGGCCCAGGCCTAGGCTGGCAAATTGTCTATACTATAGTGAGTAACTGAGGATTGGCTAGTGAGGAGTTAAGAACTCTCTTATATCTGTGCATATCTCTGTTTGACCATAAAATTAGGCTTGAGCCTTTTTTAAAATTGTATTTTATGGTTTAGTTTATAGTATTTTAGTACAACAATATAATTTGTGTTGAATTGCTCCTGATAATGACCATACAAGTTTCAAGCAAGTAAAGAAGAAATCACAAAAATTTAGATGTCCCACTTTTTTTTTTCAAAAGAAATCAAAAGATTTTTTAAAGACAACTTCAAGTTCTGGTATGGTCAAATTTTTATGGATGGTTGGCAACCTTGGCATATGGAGAAAAATATAAAAAAAAATTTTTACTGACAAATATTCTCAACATCCACAATAATTGCAACGAAAAAAGTTTTTACTGATATATTTTCAAAAATGCTTGTTGAAACTCTGAAGCCAAAAATATTTAAAATATCCATACATATGTTTATATGAGTAATATGACTCTTTAATATATACATCTGTTTTGTCTGCTAAAAAGGGGTTTCTAGGCGAATCATTCATTGCTTTTACCTTCAGTAAGTTTTCTCCATAATTTTAACACACTTAAAATAATGTATAATACTCATACATTTGGAATTATTTTTGTCTTTTTATATTATATATTTTGTAATTTTATCTTACATTGTTGTGTTGAACAATTAT